GTCTGCTTCTACTGCCGATTGATTTGCCGTCTCAAATTCCCACCTACCATTAGGGGGAGCCGCTGGTTGATGGGGAGCTTCCCGCATGCATAATCCATTAGCATTCTGGATACTGAGGAGTAAACAACGCTTCTGATTGTCTGTCTCTTTTTTCTGTCTATCTCTGAGGCACAAATCCACACACACAGATAGTGTTGCTAGGCCTGAGCTGCGCCAGGACCAACAATGCAGAGCAGGATGCAATATCAGAGTCAGATTCTCCAAAAGCAACTTTGCTCACAGCCAACTTTGTTCAATTTAAGGGCGACACCACAGACTTCTCCGCACATCTTTAGTCCCACCCATGTTCTTGGACAAGTGCCAGTTTTTCGTGCCATTTTTAGAGACCACCCATACGCTCAGTCACGTCTGCATTCCTAAGAATGTGTGGAAGGATGTGTGTAATCAACCCAACCAGGCTGGGGTGGTCTGGGACTGACTGCGCAGAGTGGAGTGGAGGTGGCCCTGGAAGTCTGGAAGGGGCTTTTTAACCTCACATTATTTGCAATTTGGCTGCCAACTCCTCCCAAAGTTGTTTCACATTTCTTGGTCTTTCAGGCTCACAGAGACTACATTAGGGACCCCCAGATAGTTTTAACCCCGTAAGACCGGCGGGAGCGCCAGCGCTTCCATTTGCATATCTGCTTGTAGAACTGAAACTATATAAGATAGAACAAAAATGTTTTTTTTGCATATTAAACCAGAGGAGTTACACTTAAATCTCACACACTGAACATGTCCCAGAGCGCTGCGTATTTCCGCTAAAGAGCTTGCAAAAATCAACCAAAATGCGCAAACAAGAAAAGCGTTTTCATTCAGACACAGACGGTGACTACGTTTACATGCAGCCAATATCCGGGTTATGATCGGGTTAAGGTCGGTATTCGGGTTTCTGAGTTGATCAGAATAACCCGTTTACAAGCATAAACAGAAAGAGTTACCCCCAAATTCCACTACCTCCGCTCCGCTCCGCTCCGGTCCGCCCCCGCCTTCCGCAGCCGCTCGCTTCCGAACTCAATTTTTACTGGTACCCGCTCTACAACGGCTCCGCTCCGGTGCGGAGACCTGAGGGGGGCAAACAAGCATGCGCGGGATTTTCGAGATCTTGCGATACAGTCCGAGCAATAAAGGCGGAAGTTAGATCCAAACACCCGTTGTGCGGGAGAAGCATCGGAAATGAGCTGTTTAATCTGCCCATCATTTGTGTTGAGAGATCAGCAGTGTTTGGATCAACAAAGTGTGACTACTTTGATAGTGGCAACTGTATTTATGGCTTATTTTTGTGCATTTAAACTTCAGCCGCCATTGATAGTTGTTAAAAGTTGTTAAACCTGTGCATATGAAACAAAAAACGCCTTTTGTTTAGCGATTTATTGTGAAAAACGGAAGATGTGCTTGCTCCTTTTCCTGTTGGGCCGTTGTGATTTCTGTCCATTTACTGCGGAGGTGCTCCGGCGTCCGGCGAAAATAGGATCGATTCTATTTTTGCCGGACGCCGGAACAGAGGGCGCCGCACGGCGCCGCACTGCCGGAGCACGGCCGCAGTAGTGGAATTGCTCTGATTGACTAGAACGGGACCGATTTTGCTCCGGCGTTCGTGTCGGAGCGGAGCGCAGCGGAGCGGAGGTAGTGGAATTTGGGGGTTACCCCTAACTTGCACAACCCGATTTTAATGCGGACGTTGGGGTAGCGTCAGGACGTATGGACTACGTCCAGACGCAATATGCGTCATTTCCGGTTCTTCTTGTTTTGGTATCCGTGAAAACAACAACATGTTTCCCAGTTCGGAAGAGATAGCGACCGTGTTTGTTTGCGCTTTAGTTTCCTCGTCACTCCAAAAGTGAGGTGCTGTGCCGCGACTCTCCATGTTGCTCCCAACTTGTTGTTTACTTCCGGTGTTCTGGCGCATACAAGACGTCTCGCTACTCAAAAGACCAAGATTCCTTGCGAACAGAGCATGCGCAGAACACACGCTTTGATGGGGATATCCCGATATGCGTTTACACGACCAAACATTCGGGTTAGAAAAGGGTTACCCCAGGTGTAGTAACTGGGTTTTTAAAAACCCGTTTATGAGCATACTCAGGTTTTTGGCGGTGATTACATGGCCGTGCGGAACCGGGTTATCGTGAATATTCGGGTTTTAAAAGGGTTACTGGCTGCATGTAAACGCACTCACTGTTGTTCTGATCTGCAGCTTCCAGGGCTTCACACGCTAGAATAAACATCATCACATTGTCAACGTGTACTGTCACATGATTATCACTCACCCAATCACCTGCTTTGACTTCATTTTCCTGTGAATTGTAGTTCTTTGTAGTCCCAGTCTTTTGGCTTTTTCTTGTGCTTTTTCGCAATAATATGTTTAGACAAACACATCCTACACACATCACACACTACTACAAACTTCCGACACACTCACACACCACTACGAATGTTTTGATGACTCACGGACCCGCCAAACGGTGCATCTTCCCTCCTCAAAGTAGCTGACGCCCTTACAGTGCCGGAGGATGTTTAAGTTTCACTTTCAGTTTCCTCACGTATATATTCATGCAATATTCTTCATTATTGTTATTATTATTAGTGAGAGAGAAAAGGAAAACTATATACTATTGAAACATTACCTACAAATATTCAACATTATTATGTTAAACTCCTGTAGATTATTATTTTTTATGTTTTTGTTTTTGTTACAGTTTATATAAATGAGTGTATCTCAGAAACAATTTTATGGAAGCACTTCAAATGAATTTGTGATTGTTTGAAAGGATTGTGTGAAACTTTTTTCCATTGACAATTTTGAGGCATAAAGCTGTGGCATTTCTGTATAATGAAAAATATGTGTAAAAACAAAGAACGATTTTCAATTTCTGAATAGATAAATGCATTTTTAGTAAAATGGTTTGTTGCTATTAACATTTTACATTTATATAATTAAAATTTAGAATGTAAGGGTTGTATCAATGTATAGAAAGTTGAAATACTCCAAAAAATGGCCCCGCAGCATGTAAAAATGTAAATATATTGTTCTGTGGTAGATCTTAAAGGGTTAAGAGGACCCCAAGAACTCTTCTATTCATATTCTGAGAGCAAATCTGTGAACATCAGAGAAGACCAGGAGACATGAGTGTTCAGCTGAGGGTTTGTGGTTTATTTCAGCAGTTGGGTTAAGATAAGGCAAGAAGAATGAAAGTAATGAAAAGGAAGAAGGAGAAGAAATGGGACGAGGAAAGGGTGAAGGGTGAGGGATGAAGGATGAGAGGGATGAAAAGGCGGGAAGGTGTGGAGATGAATGAGATGAAAGGAGCAGGAGTGAGGACAATAGAAAAGAGAGGACGGGGTAGAGTACAAAATTCTCTGTACAAAAACGTTGGACAACTTCAAATAGGCTCGCCAGGTGATTAGAGGCATGGTTGAGGAGTGGTCTGCTCCTGGCCGAACTGTGCGATTTTCAGCCATTCTAGATAAATCCCTTGTAATGAACAGAATTGTGACAAAAATGTGAGAACGTGAGGGTGGTTTGCAGGTCTGTGGCCATCCAGTGTGATCGGCCCAGCGACAGCTTTCTGAGCACAAATTCAGCTTCCAACAGCCTTCGAGTAATGTCAGAATATCTACAACTCCATTCAGCAACCAACCACTGAGAACACACCCAGGGATTCACATGACAAACTATTGATGAGAACACAATGCGAGAATAGCATTAGCAACATTAGCATCTACTGATGCTAATTGTAAGAACATGTGGACCATCCCTTTTTGGAGTTTGGTTCAGAAAGTGGCGTTTTGTTCTCTTCTCATCATTGTTGTCTTGGGTGTCTGTCGGCTTTAAGTAACTTGTGCTTTTCAGTGAGTACGCTCGTGACGTTAGCATGTCCTGCTAACACAAGATGTGCAGTTTGGCTTGCTGAAATTTTGGACCGAACAGTGTGCCACCTCTCCAGAGTCTGTACAGTGTGGCATGAAGCAGTCCTGCTGAAAAATGCACCATGTGGTCCAAGCTTTCTGTCTTCTAGCAACTTTTCTTTAATACCTGATTTGCTGTAGCTCTGTGTGGCTGGACCTAATCCCAATGCCTGTTTGTTAATGCAACCATAGAAATTTACATTATTACTCAAACTGCAATTTAATAAATGCATACATTTCTGCTTCCATAATGGATAGTTGCTGCACAGCTGTTGTCTGACTCCTGTGATCCTAACTCCCACACTTGAATGAATAAAATGACAGACATTTGGACAATTTGTGACAGATTTTTTCTCAATTTTTCCAAAAGTCTCTCTGTTTTCTGTTAATTGATGTTTTTCCTCAGATTATTTCTCAGATTATGTAAACCTGCTGTTTGTCTGTTTATCCCAGCTTCCTCCCATGTTTTGGGCAGTCGTGTCAGGAGATAGTGGATGTTCAGAAAGTAATGAGTATATATATTTAAATATATACATTTACCAATTAAACATAGAAAAAGCAGGTCTCCTTTAGGACTCCAGCTGGAGTCCAGCAGCTCCCTAAACTCCATTTATTCCTTGATCTGCTTCTGCATTGGAACCTTTGACTTCTGCACACATCTGCTCAGATGGTCGTTCATCCATTAAGCAGATACAGCCAGGTGACTCGCTGGGGAATGGTGTATGAAAACACCAGAAACAGTCGTCTGAACTAATGAGTAACCATCTAAAATATTTGGCTCAGACGGCAGGTAGCCAAGAGAAAACGGTGAAGCTTTTTTTAAGGTTCTCTTTCTTAATAATTTTTAATTTGATCTATTTTAAATATTATCTATTTTTATCATTTAACATCTTTTATATTTAAACCTCTGCCGTTCTTCACATCACAGTCACTCAACAAATTATGACTATTAGTGGAACTAAAAAAAATCTGAGATGTTCAAACAAAAGTTATTATTTTATCAGATTTCTTCCATAGATGATTTTTAAAAATTATAAATAAAACAATTTGAAGAAACTCGTTTTTATTAGAGAAATGCACAAACAAAAGTGATGTACATAAAATGCAAAAATCAGTTGTTTTTCAACTTTACGCCAGGAGAGGAAGCAGCATTGTTGGTGGAGTGAGCTCCATCAGTGGAAGAGGAACTCTTTTGCTCTGAAAAACAGAAACATTTTAGAAGTTAGTGATCAGACTTTAGAGCAGATCTGTTCATAAACTGTGTCTCTTGATTATTCACCAGAGGGATTTTTTCTGCCACAGGCCCATCCTCTTCTTTGGGCCTCCTTGTGAGGAGTCAGGGATGCTGGTGTTGTTTTGGGCCACCCATCTCTTATAACGCTCCTCCTCTTTCTGTCTGAGAGCCTCCGTCGCTTCACGCTTCTTCTCCCAGTGGGCATCCAACCAGTTCTTAATGTTCTGCCTCTGTTTGTCACGGCTGAGCCAAATCTCTCTCTTCTGCCTCTCTCTCTGACCTCGGGTTTCCTGATAGAAGATGTAAAAGTTGGCTGTGGGAGTAAAAACAAGAAAGAAGATCAGCATGTTCCAGCCGTGTGGTGTCATCTCCAAACGATGAAGATGTTTTCTGAACTCTTACGTGGATAAAGCTGGCCACGCTCCTCCTGCTCTCTCACATAGGTTCTCCTGATCTTCTTGCAGTAGTGGTCATGGACGACACCATCAATCCAGGTCAGGAACCTTCTATGAATGGGTTTCTCTTTTGGGTTTGCAGGTTCTCCTACCGTGGCTGAGGTGAGCTGTAGATTTAGAAACTCCTTGGTTGGGATTTTTTCTCCAACTGAGTTCGGCTGATTCTTCTGTTTTTCTGAAAGCTCAACATGGGCTTCATTTTCTGCCTTTTCTTCTTTTAGAAAAACAACCACAGTTTCATCTTCTATCACCTCATCTTTCTGCTTGAATTCTTTTCCAGCATCACTCCAGCAGACTTTTGGACAATGGATGGTCCTGAAGATGACTGTGTTGGGCCCAGGACGAACCCTAATGGTCCCACGGGCTGGAAGGTCTTTCATTTTGACGTACATTAGAAAACCCAAGAACATGTGTTTTGAACATTCTCAGCAGAAATTTGAAGAACGAGAATTAATTCCATTCCAGTTCATTCTAAATTCAAAAATACACACATTCAAAAAACAACATAACTGTTGCTATGCATCAGCATAACAAATACGCAGACAGTCACCAGATTGCAATCAGGGGCAAAAGGTCACAGGTAACTGCGCAGAACTTCTGCTCCCAGAATTTATTTATACAAGAACAAAAGATAAGACATGGGAGAGACAGTGTGTGTGTGTGTGTGTGTGTGTGTGTGTGTGTGTGTGTGTGTGTGTGTGTGTGTGTGTGTGTGTGTGTGTGTGTGTGTGTGTGTGTGAGTGAGGTCACAGTGTAGGGAGACCGTGCGTGTGTATGGGAAGAACAAGAATGTGTGGGTGTGTCTGAGTGTGAGAATGCTTCTAGGAATGATGATCAAGAAATATTGGAACATAAAATTTCCATAACGCTTTTCCTTCTAAATTCAAAAATGCAAACATTCAAAAAACAACAGAACTGTTGTTATGCATCGCAGACATAACCCTAGCCCTGAGAGAAAGGTTTTTAATTCAGCCAGACCTAAACGTTTCACATGATCATCAAAAACAACTTATTTTTCAGAGAATATTTTTATTTAGTTAAATCTGAAAGTTTTAGTTTCATAAAAGGTCAAAATATCATATATTTTTATAGTCACTTTATTTGAATGAACATCTTTTTAAAAGAGCGAGTCAATAAAAGATCATGTCACTCCCATACTGAAATGACTGCACTGGCTCCCTATTCGTTTTAGAATTTACTTTAAGATTCTTGTTTTTGTTTTTAAATCACTGCTGGGAACTGCACCACCACATCTGCGTAATGTTCTACCCTGATACGTTCCATCATGTTCCATCATGGTCACTTAGATCTAATACAATGGGCCTTTTGGAAGTTCCAAAGGTAAATCGGGTCACCAGAGGAGAGCGGGCTTTTTCTTTTCTTGGACCTAAATTATGGAATGGAATAAATTATGGCTTTCTTATAGGAGTTGGGGTGAGTCTGGTTTTATTCTCTGTATTTTATTGTCATTACTGCTATTGTCTGGGTATGAGATGGTTTTATAATTTCTTAGATTTTACTGTTTTTTATCTTTTTATTTCATTTTATTCTATTTAACTTATTTTTAATGAAATGATATAAAGTTGATGTGTTTTTAATTGTATCATGTAAAGCACTTTGGGCATGATAAGTGCAAGAAGGTGCTTTATAAATAAATGATGAAGATGATGATGATGATGATGATGATGATGATGATGATGATGATGATGATGATGATGATGATGATGATGATGATGATCTACACGTTTCCCTAAAAACTAAAAAAAGCCGGCCAACATAAAGGTCTAGAGGTTCCACTGCCAAGGGAGAGTAAATGCAGTGGTGCTGGAAGAACTACTGGATTTATTTGATTGATTGAACATGGAACAAAAAATCTAATTTTTTTAAATACTTCCATGGGACATTTAGAGATTTGCAGAGTGAAGGTCCAGTATTACCTTTAAAAGCTAGATTTTAATTTTAAAAAATCAAATATTTATTTTGATCGGCATGTCACTGGGTTTACGTTTACAGCTACCAGCCAATAGAGGGCAACGTTGCAGGTTGCCAAAGAGTCTGCTCCCAGCAAGACTGGAACTGTGGAAAAATGCAGACTCGGCAAGTCAAGCAGCTGCTTCTGAGCCCAAAAGATGTTATCCTTCAAAGAAGGGGAGCTACCATAAAAGATCTGAAACAGAGTGAGTTTAGGTGAAGCCCACAACATATGGATCCAAATAAAACATTTCACGTATCGGCAGCGAACCTGATAATCCAGTGGCTGGAAACCGTGTTCTATTGTTGCAACTACAACCTCCACACACTAGATTTTGCTTTGGAGTTCATGTTCCATATCCTATCTTTGAGTAAGAGTTATGAAAAAGGGGTAAAACAAATGACTTTAGTGAAAGTGAAAGTATCCAAAAATATAAAAATATGCATTGTCAAAAACACTTAAAAATAAAAAAACATATTTTGAGTATTTAACCAACATTTAAATGTGCGGATATAGTACAGTGATGACCTGTTGAACTAAAGCCCGGTGCAAAAATGAGAATATTAACCTGTAAAACTGTCTCCATCATACTGAGGAGTAAAGATGGAAAAGGTAATGATGACTGGAGAGTTTTAAGGTGGAACATAAGCAGTTGAAAAGCTGAGTGAATGAATGGTCACTGAAATTGACTGTTATTTACATAAACAGTTTATTCTCCTTTAACAGGAAATACAAGGATTTAAGTTTCATACACTAGCTATGTTTACATGGGGAAAAGTAGTTGGAATGAATGCCCTATCAGATCAAAAATTCTTTGTGTAAGCATGTCAGTCAGAATATTCTGATCCGATACGGCACGAAAGTCCATTCCGATTGAGAGAGGTAGTTTTGTCCGATCATCATTCCGATTGACATCCACACTCATTCAGGTTCTTGAGGTGAAGCAATGCCCACTGCACATGTGTGCAACTTTGGCATGACGTCATTGATGTCTTTCCACTTTTGCAGCCGCTCGGGAAAAACCTTTTTCCAGTTTGCTTTGCGGTGCTGTACACCATACCTCTGTACAATTTGTCAGCTCCAATAAACATGGTGTGAACTGCAATCTTTCCACTTCAATCTGTTTGCTGGTGAACACATCACCAATGTTGCATTGATTTAAAAATGCTTTAGATGATCTCAGATCTCTTCATGAAGCGTCCATCAAAGAAAAACACTGTGATGAATAGGATTTACAAAAGATTGAATCACAGCTGCCACTTTGGATTCAGCCCTGTCACGCCACAGTCCAAACCGGTCCGGACAAATATTGGTTTTGTGTCAAAAAGCTACTTGAAAGTTGAATGTGTTAATCTTCCCACTAATGGCCTGGCAAAGGCTTCCTTATTATTCCGGTGCCAACCTCCCTTCACTGAGGGTATTTCCACAAGGTTAATTAGTGGAGGGTCTCCTGGGGTTTCCCACTCAATGTGTGCTCAGGATAGTGGAGGTGCCTCCACAAAACAAGGTTAATGGAGCCTTGGATAACTCCCTCCGTCCTGCTCCATCACCTGTACACATCCATACCTCTTTGAGCCTAAGTTATGTGTCAGACTTTGAGATGGAAGGGCTGTTTGGGAGTATAAACTGTATATATTAGCCATTAAGAAGACATTTGCATCAACCTGAGGTCAATGCGTTATTTAAGTAATACAGTAGATGATGATGGGAAACGTCAGAACTGTAAACAAGTACCTGCTTTTTTTCTTTCATTGCATGAGGAGAGCTAAGACGTCGAATCATTGTGTGCTGGTGTGCAGAAAACATTCTCGCAACTGAAAAATGCATCTGGATATCATTTTGCCCAGAAAACCATTTTAGGAACCATCATCCATCAATGATCTCGCAGCATAGCACCTTTTTCTGATATGGCCAATAATGTTCTATTGAGCTAATCTGAGGCCCACGGGTGTATCTGTCATCATTCCCCAAGAGAAAGAGACAGCAGCACACGGCTTAAATCAAAGAAATAGCACACAGAGTGAATGGGGCTCCTCCGAAGGTCATGGTGTCACAAATGACTTTGCATCAGGATTCACACTCTGTATCGCACCCTTGAAAAAAGTGTCTCCGAGTCACTCCCCGAGGCGCGTCTGAGCACGCCACACCTTGCCTTTGGTGCCCCACTTTCTACTCCTTCCTTCTCTCCACCTCTGCGACCTTCGTCAGGAAGAACATGATTTATCACACCAATATCCCCTTTGGTACCATCCTGATTGCTTTGATTTCTTTATTGACATTTCCCACCATTCTTGCGGCATGCATTTTTCATGCTTGTCCCGGCATGGAGGGAATACATCCACAGATGTTAGCATCAAGAGCACACTCGGAAAGAACATGCCTTATCTGCCGCTGCATGCCTGGTGTTCCGTGGGCTGCATCTGTGTTTATTTTGTGGACTTAGAAAGTGGCCAGTGCTGCTCTGGCTGCACATCTTGTCTGAAGACTCAGCCATCAAAGGGAAGGGACCAGAGGCATCTTGTTGCACTTTCAGAAGTCCTATACCTGAGTTTTTTTTTCTTTCTTTTTTTTTTGTAAGAAAAAGTAAAGGAGAGGCTAATTTATTTTAAAGCATGACCCAGTCCTTTTCTTTAGTGACAAAGGTGACTCCAGCCTGTGGAGGAATCTGGCTCACTCTCATCTACACATCTAAGCAGTTTCCAACCCTTCACTTACCTTTCACTTCTGTTTGTAGGAAGATATGAGTACTTCTTTTTTTGAGGGAAGAGTTTTAAATTCAGCACTCACCTGTGCAATGAGTCATGCAGTGTTTGATACAGATACCTGAAGAAAAGAGAAAGCGTAAATAAAACAGAGCCAATATTGAAGCCGGCATTTCAGATGTCACCTCTCCTTGTGCTGTTGAAGTTGAGAGTTTGTCAGCATTTGTTTTTCTTTGTGAGAATACAAGAAAGCCTCTCTAACCTCCCTCCCACTGCAGTGCAGTGAAACCCCCTTAAAGCGCTGGATCTGCATGGTGCTGCAGCTTTACATAGGTTCTGAGGGCCCACCTTCAATGCCAGATGTGTTTACTCACACTTATATTTCATTAACAGATCGGTCACCTCCATTAATGCAGCTTTCGTGTGATATCACAATATTATATCACCCCTGCTTTGATCTGAGTTGGTAATTTCCATCTAGGGAACCCCCTGCAAAACCTACAGGAACATCACACAGTCACAGACCCAATTCTTCGCAAACGATGTTTGAAACGTCTGTCTCCAAGCATGGTTCTGACTGTGTTGTTCCACAGCACGTTAATATGAGGGCTCCAGCTGAGTGAGGCTGACAGGCATCTGGTGGGAGCGAGATAGCTAAGATGCGACAGCTTCTGTCACCGTATTGATTCAGTCTCCACCACTGACATTCAGAGCAGACACAAACCAAGCTTATGGGCAACGTTGTGTTATGTATATTTGTTTTTGTATTTGCCTG